AGAGGGAGGAAGAAAGGTCTATTTCTGTAATGAACTCAGCATGAACAAGATTTTGCTCCATGAGGAGTCTAATTGCCTCTAGTCAGTCCACAGATTCATTACAGCAAAAAGGTCCCAGTGAACCAAATAACTAGTCCATTCAGAATGTGATGTTCAGGTAAAGCTGTATAAAAAGTTCATAAATGCATGAAAACCTTGTCTTTGAATCAAGAAAATGTTTCAGACTTGTACATCTGTGGGGGAACAGTAAGACAATAAAAAAATGTCTCTGAGTCATACAAAAGCCCAAGCCCTCCACTTAACAGCTTCCTAATAATCCACTTTAAGATTGTTTATTAATATTTCTATGGTTTGTTTAATCAACCATTAGAATATTAGACAATATTTGCCTCTGTTATCCAAAATACATGACTGTGCAGAGAGGTGACAGAACCTTCCAGAACAACCTTTCAAGGACTACGAGCCGTGGACACAGATTTGCCTGCTGTTCCTCTCAAGTGATGTGAACGGCACACAGCACAACTGCCACAGCCTCTCTCTCCAAACCCAGGTTGTTCCCAGTCTAAGGACCTCCTGGTAAAGCACAGAAGCAGCGTTGATAACCATCTCTCATTTACAGCTTCCCTTCAGCTCTGACAGCACCTTTCCACTGCACCCTGGAGAAACCCTCTCAAACACTGCATTTAAAATGTTCACAGATAAATACTCACATCTCTTTGAACTTGCTTTGGGAAGTCTTGAGAATACGTAATTTTCCAGCAAAACATAAACATATCAAGCAAACCAAGAGTTACCACACTAGAGACACTGAGAAGTCACAGGATCCGGCCACAGAAAACTCCAACTCTCTCCACCCCGTTGCTATTTAGACTGGGCTTGTCTCTGCTCTGCCAAATCAATTTGATAATTATTATAATTACATACACAAGAAAAATTGCCTGCTCAAAAACTAACACAAAACGCTCATCTAAAGAAAGGAAACACGAGAGGTGAATCCAATACAAAATAATAAGTTTCCAATAAACAGTAACGGAAGCCTCTGGAATTAGAAATGCTTCATTCTACATTTAATTCAGAACACTTTTTACTTCCTAATAAGTATTGCCCTCACATTTCGCCATCTCTCCATCTCTTCCAACAACCAAATACTCTGTGCAAGTTCTTTATCATCTCTGCACCTAATGCAGTTTGAAATTTGCTTGAAAACGCTTCTTACGCTCAGCATAATTACAATACACCAGATCAAATATTTGAATTAAAAAAGTTGGGCCCTGGAAACATTTTCATCTATTTACCATGACATGGTTTCTGTCAAAGCCATTGGTATCGATACCACCTTAAATGTATATTCAGGTATGTGCAGAATTCTGAATTACAGATTTGATTAAGCAGCATAAAAAGATTACACTTCCATTGCTGTTATGCTAAGATAAATCCGACAAGCTTCTCTTTCTTAATATTTAAAGATACCAGGCTCCAGCTGGAGAAGCTTAAAGCTTTGCACTGCTTTTATCTATTTCAAAATCTTTCTGAACAACAGCCATCAATCCAGAGAAATATATTTTCTAAGTATTCTTTCATTCCTCAACAAAAGACAGGCATTGGGAAGGTACTTAAATCCATTAAGATGCATGTAGAGCAGCCTCTAGCAACTTCCAACCTATTTAAATAAGCAGACTTTTTCTATTTCCATACAAATATTCCAGTAGTTTAGTAAACATTTTGTAGCTCAGTAGGCATCAGTGTTTGTTAATCTCATACATAAAGCATAAATTCCAGCCCTGCGAGGGCTCTGTGTGCTCCCAGGACTCTGCCCAGGCATGCAGACCATGGGCCAGACGTCTCCGTGGGATGATGATGTGGGATGATGATGTTCCTCCAAGTACAGGAGTCAGTTACCATGTCCAAATGATTCACTTGTACCATCACCTCGCAAATTCTAATTTGATAATTACGGTGATTACCCATTAGCATCTCATCATTTTTCGATGACACACAATGGCTTGAGGCTAACTAGCATCTCAAGCTCAAATTTAACAAAAATGCCATGAAGAGAGGGCCGATGGCAGAGGCCAGGAGGCACAAAGAGCTGAGTAAACAAAGAGATGTGCAACAGTTTTGGGACTCTCACAGGTTCGTTCTCCTGAGAAGCCCCTGTTCAGAGACGGGGCAGGGCAGTGAGTGGGGTGGGACACACCCTCAGTCCGAGGGGCCAGGTCTGGGAGCACCATTCCCAGCTGTGCACATGGAACAGGCCACAGCCTTTGTCATCTCCACATCTCTTCCACCCAGGAAGTCACTCCCACAGGGAGAAGGTCAGCACTAACAATCCCAAGGTTTGAAGAGAATCCTTTATTACTCACGACAACAAACCACTGTATGTTTCATGCTAATTAAATTCGCTTTGGAAAGGAAAAAGAAATCAAATAAATTTTTATATTGATTTATGTAACACGACTACAGAAGACAGCAAAGCTGAAGAGCTAAGTACAAAATGAATTTAAGAGTGGTTTTATTTACAGTTCGCCTCTAGATCAGCTTTCACTTGCATGATCACTGAAGTTCAGAGAATAGTCAACCAACCTGTTGCAGTTGAAACTCTTTTCTTCCATTCACCTTACAGGAGAAGATACTTAATCTCAACCAATTTATCTAATCTGCTTCATATGAGAGCCTGCATTTCAGTACGCCTGAAATATTTCTTACTCCTTTAATGCTGAAATAGTTATTTTAGAAACATTAGCTGGTTATAGCACAGTAATATGATTCATTCAAAATAGCCATGGCCCATATATTTAAAATGTTCATTTTTTTATCATATAAAAAGATTGAAGTCATGTAATTCTCTCATGCATATGACCACATCATTCCATTAGAAACTTCTGTGGCTGTAGCAGAATTTCCATTTTCATGAAGGACTTTTATAAAAACTGTCATCTTCTCTCTAAAGTAAATTTTTGCATAAAAATGATGAATGTCTTAGAATCCATTAGAATTCAGACTGCTAAAAGAACCGTAAGTTATAAATTAAAACAAATTTTGTGAAACCAGATAGAAGCCCTCTGCATCAAGACCTCCATGGTGGTTTATATGTGAAAGAATTCTTAAGAGGATTAACTATAATTTGTATATTCTGCATTATATAAAAACTAAAATAGTTTTATTTTGCATTGTTCATGTCTTCTAAACTCCATACTTTTATCTTCACCAATATTTCTCAGAAATAATGTATCTTATTCTGTTCACTTCCCCTCCCCCTCTTAAATATTGATGGGTAAAACTAACTTGGTGTTAGGACTTTTCTTTAGGATAGTTTGTAAACACCTCATACCTCCCTGAGATACACAGTAGCTGAAATTGATAGTACTGCAAATGCTGAGTAATCTGGAAGATGCAATTGAAAAATTATTCTATACTGTGTGCTAAACAAAAGTTTCAGTTCACTTTTTAATTCAACTACATGACCAGTTTACTACTAAACCATAGAAAACTGTTTTTATATGGCATCTGATTTCCGAATCACTGGCACTTAAAACTATCTTTTAATATTTTTTTTTCATTTTTAATGTAAATACCAAGAATCATCAGCATTTACCTTCAAAAATGAAGCATCATACTGGCATCTATCAACAACAACTACCAAAAGAAAAACACAAAAAGTGACGTGAATCTAAAATTGCAGAGATAATTATGTCAGGTATGGCTTGTTTCGGGATAACAGTACTCTGTTAGGGCTTGCAGGCCTCAGCAGAGGTAATTTGGGAATAGCAATGACAGCATAAACAAAGCACTGAGAAAGGTTTATGAGGGTGGAGTCCATATAAAACACTGGATTAAATCTCTTCTGTATCCTGCGGCTCCAAACTTTTGGAGGATGCAGCAGTAAACCCTGAGCACACAAACTACAGCAGACTTGGCTTCCAACCCCTCTTCCTCAACACACGAGCCCCATCCAGTTATTAAAACTGAATGCACCGTTGTTCCCTATGAAATACTTGAAAACAAAGAACTAAAACACAAAGCCCATTCCCCTTCATGGGGTATTAACTTCCGCTTTTAATAACCAGCTCCTGGTCCCACACGACACAGCCCTGCATTGTCCAGCACACACCACTTCAGCCAGACAATGCTCCCAGCAATAAAACTCAGCCCAGCAAAGAAAGTGAAAGCTGCGTTTGTTCAGCGTGTTATTTGGCGCAGCCAACTGTAATGCTTCTGCCTGCCATTTATTGTTTACTCTCTCAAAGGATTATTAAGAATTAGGCTACATTTGGCGATTTTTTTTTCGAGAGGGGAATTTACATGCAAAGTGACTGACACTTGATATTTAGAGTCTATTGGTCGACTCTGACCCTTCGTTTACAAGTGACTCATTTGACTGCAAGGATCTCTGATGTGGAAATGCTCAGATACGAATCAATTGCAGTTTTTGTCTCGGCTAAATGTTACTTGGCAATCCAAAAGAAATGAACAGTGCCGAGACCGAGGTTCACATAGAATAGTGCTCATATGTTTAAAGAATTCCTTTTACATGCCCGATTCAGTTCTAGTCGGAGGATTTATGACTCCCCTTCTCCTAATAACTTATCTCGGTGCACAGCGTTTCAAACACACACACACAGACACACACACTCACAGACACAACCAGCAGTTAACTCTTTTGCTGCCTGAAAGAACAGCACGGATGTATTTAAGCAAATAATAAAAGCAGGTTTGCTGCCGATGGGGCTTTTGATTCTCTGTGGGAGGTTGGGATAGGGGAAGGATAGGACGAGAAAGGGAGAGAAACATGTAGGTACAGTTTGCAAATCCCTGTTCCATAAAGAAACGATTGTGTTTAAGAAAAGACCATTCCTACATGAAATCAGCTCAGTGAGAATTCTGCAGTTTACCTCTGATAAGGATAAAAGTCAAAGGGTTTCTCTGTACCCCAGCGAGATTCCCTTCCTCCTAAAAGGCAGATGCAGCATTTCTATAAACAAAAATGTCTCTAGCCCTACCTTGTGCCAGTGCTTGCAACATGTGGAGCTGAAGCAACAGAAACGCCCACCATCCCCGACAGAAGATGAAACAGAAGTTTAACTTTATCATCATTCCGCCTCGCCTGCTATTCCTTCGGGCAATAATTTCGCGATCCACCTTTCTTTCAACCGCTATTGCCTCACTGATCCCCATCGGATCCGACTGCCCGCCACTCCTGACAGCGCTTTGGTCATTGCTCATTCCGCACCGCCGGGCCGGGCTCCCCGGGGTGGGTCGGGAGCCTCTGCCCCGCAGTCTGGGGGGAAGCGAAGCCCCCGCTTCCCAGGAACGGCGGGCTCTTTGATTTGTGCTCGCTGTGCCTGCAAGCCGAGAGCTGCACTCCGTGTGCCTCCCGCTATGACAGTCGCCACCTAAGTCAATGTTTCTCGTGGAGGTATTGATTGCACCAAAACAACCAGTCAGAAATGTGAAACACATGTTTCTCTGCACTGTCACATCCGATGCCTTCAGCAGAGAGGGAGTAAGTTTATAGGCGTCAGTATTTCACTAAATCCGGATCCTTCAGCACATCGCAAACAGGAACAGGGAAAGACTGATCCATCGTAGCCACCAGCAGACAATCCATCGAGAACCTTTCATACCGCAACGCTGATGGAAACTGTTACCCCCGTGATTTTTATGAAGCGTGGTGAGTTTTCCAGCATGTGTCCCATTCTCCTGTAAAAACCCTCCAATGGAAGTGTTAAATTCTCGCAGAAGGGAAAAAAAAAAAAGCGTCAAGGAAAAAAAAACTAATTGAAAGTATCTCGTTATTCCTCGCGCTGAGGATTTATTTCAGACAATTTCAAGATTAGCCATGCAGACAGAGTAGTCTCCAGATATCCCCGCAAAGCTCTGCATAGTTTATATTAATCCGATTTTCCTTGGGATACAAATCTCTACCGTCAACAGAAGGGTTTGAAGGGTCCTCGAGCAGGTAAATTGAGCAGCTCTGGCTGTGATTCCAGCTCGCCGTGCAGTCAGTCGGCCACAGGCCAGTGCCGGTGTCACTTGAACTCTCACGTTCAGCCGGAGGTAGGGAAAACCTCAGTTGATCCCGTCTCCCTTCTCGGAGGCTGGTGCTGCTCTCTTCCTCGCAGGGAGACCACGAGAAAAATCACCTCTTAACATGGAAAAGCGCTTTTTTTTTTTTTTTCAGGCCTCCTGCGGACGCAGCAAGGAAACAAACGCTCAGCTGGACAGTGTCCGGGGCGGGGGGGGAGCGAAAATCTCCCGAAACAAACAGCAACAAGGTGAAATCCTTCCCGGCTCTGCTGAGCCCTCCGTGCTGATGCAGCCCAGGGATCCTGGTGGTTCTTCCTCCGAGCGTCTCTCGCTCACAGGCGCTGTAAACACAAGGGGGAAAGCGCGATCACAACAGCGGCAGCGGCG